GTGTGTGTGTGTGTGTGTGTGTGTGTGTGTGTGTACACATATTATAGATAGATAGATATAATATCAAAAAGTATAAAGACTAACGATACAAAATAGTTTCCCAAAAGTCTGTCTAGATCTAGATAGATGTCTGTCTATTCAGTATACTGAAGGAAAAAGGAGGCAACACTGTCAACTGACAGAGCTATGTAGCTTTTTAAAGGGTTTTATTTTATATAATATGGCCTCAATATTACCCAGCATGGTATTTCTTTGTCCCCTTTGTTGAAGTTGTGTACCATGATGCCAACTGGTTTTCATGTTTTATGAAGGCTTGAGAGAATTGAGAATTAAGACTTTCCAGATGAAATGCCAGGTGCCACAGAGAAATGAGCATGTGGAGGGCTTTTGGGGTTTATTTATCTGGGTTTTTTTTTTAAAGTTTAATCATGTGTGTTGCTCTAAGTAGCTGTGCAAGTATTCTGTTATGGGAATATTGTCGATTGGATTTCAAGATGAAAAAGTTTTTGATGTAGGATGAAACTGGGGAGAAGGTGTGTCATGCCAACTTTCTGGTTTTTGACCCATTTTAGCAGTTCCAGTAGCAACAACAGCAGCAGGAAGGAAGAGACTAATGCTCCCTCAAATTCCTTCATCCATTCTCATCCTCGGGCTCCAGTCACTACAGATTCTGTTCGAATGAAGTGTAGAGAAATGCTGGCTGCAGCTCTCAAAACGGGAGGTGAGCTATATAGAGTTTACTTGCAATATTCATTTCATTTTGTTTCCTTCTGACTGTTTCAGACCAGGCTGAGTCGTGTATAGCTAGGTCAGTTGGTTTGTGTGTAGGTTCCTCTGAATTAACAGAACTCAGTAACCCTGACAACCTGGAGAAACATACTGAGGTACTTTTCAGTGCCACTGATGCCAGAGCCATTTTATGTTGCAGTGTATCTGACATCTGTGGTCCAGCAGCAAAGTTTTTTATGATGCATTCTAGCCATTGCTGCTTTGAAGCTTTGCATGACTCCTCCCTTTCATAGAAATTTATTTTCCTCTGTCATATTTTTGTGTTTTTAGGGTACTGCTATGCGCGTGAACTTTTACTTTCCCTTCTGCCCCCTCTCAATTTGAGATTACAAATTCTGGTTGCCAAAAATCTCCCATTTTCATTTAAATTTAATGCGTACATTGCCCTGAGATCCTGACAGTAAGTCTTATCTTCCAGACACTTGCAAACAATTTCATGTTCTCATCCTTTATGCAAACTACTATGTAATTTTATCTCTTGTAATATTACAGTTCAAAATTTACTCATATTTACATTATCCCTGTATCAATGGGAACAATCTTTCTGCACTGTCTTTTGGCTTCTGTAATTAAAACTAGGACATAATAAAGACTTTTTGCTAAATTTTTGGACGTGATGCTCCTTATTTAGGTAAAGCTTGTGTATAAAATTATTTAAAAGTGTATGTTGGTGGAAAAAAGTAAAAGGAACAAGGTGCAACACAAAGTTATCCAGACTCTTGAAAGGCCTCATCTTTTTATATGCTAGTGTGAGTTTTTTCAGTTTATTCCTCTCTCACTAGACAAACCCAAGACTATCCTCTTTCTCTTTCTCTCTTAATATCAGGATAACATGAAGTTTGAAGAGATCATTTTTCTAAATGCCTAATTATTCCCTTTGAATTTTATAATAAATGAACTTCAATTCAGAAACAGCCAAAGCATCTAACTAACTGGAAATTAAGTGCTTATTTAAAAGAAGGAAGGGGGGGGGGACAGTAAAGGATTCTAGATCACTTACATAACTTCTGAACTTTGTGTAGCATAAACCTAGAAATGTCTTTGGAAATTTATCAGAAATTATTGGGAATTTTAACAGATTACACAGAATTATTTCTTATAAGAAAAATGAAGATATTATTGTGTGTTTTGGCAGAATTTGGGGGTAAAGGCTTATCACTGTCTGCTTGCTTGTGCAGCAAGAGGGGAGAATAGTGACTGAATATCTAGCTGACCACGTACCTTAAAATGTAAAAGTGTAAATGGAGATGAAATTAAGAAAGTGTTGCAAGAGTGTCTTGTGTTCTAGGACAGTTAATATTTCTCTCTTTTACTAAAACCGTAGCTCAAAGACTTCTGAGATGAGGCATTTCAGGCCAAACCTGCATGCTGTCTTCAGTGTGCTTAAGCATTCTTTAACTTCAGTTTGTCTGCTTTCCCTGTTTTTAACACCCAGTAAGCCAGTTTCTGTAGCCAAATTATTGACCCTTGTGTCATCTGTGTGAATTCTTACCAAAAAGTTTTCACACAAACTGTGTATCCATATTACCTTGAATGAAATATTTTCATTTGTATTGTTGTTGAACTAGCAAAAGAGAATGTTTCAGTCTTTTTCAGGGTAGAGATTAGCAGTTGTCAAACTGAATGTTCAAGGCATAACTGATAATGTAAAAGTCCTTTGTATAATACTTGCACCCACATTTTAGCTCCAGATGAAATGTGTGATTTGAAAGCCTGTGCTTTTCTATTATTTGTCTGTCTTTGTCTTCTCTTCTCTGCAAAGTAATACATTAACAGAATTTTGTAATCATAAAAGTGCAGTTTGCTCACTTTTAACAAGTAGAAAATGCAATGTACTTATAGCAGGGGTGGGCAATTATTTTGGGCAGAGGGCTGCTTACCCAGTTTTGGCAGGCTGTCAAGGGCCGCATGGGTAGCCCTGCCCTGTGACAGGTGTCCTGCCCCCTGGTCATTATCTTGGGACCAATGTCCCAGGGCCAGCACTGGTGGGGCCCAGAGCGAGGCACAGGCCAGCAGGGGTCTGTGGAGCCAGGCTGGGCTGCATCAGCTGGGAGGGGGGAGCTGGCCCAGCTCTATAGAGCCTCTGCCAGCTGGGACCCTGCGCTCCTGTCACCCTGCTCTGGGCCCCACCAGCACTGGCCCCAGGACACTGCCTGCTCACACCCAGTGCCCCCCAGCCCTGCGGTACAGGCAGGGGGCAGCGCTTAGCCCTGACCCCCTGCTCACCAGCAGGGAAGAAGCTGGTGCTGAGTGTGGGGGAAAGTGGCCCCTCGTCTGCCCCATGGCCAGCGCTCCCTGCTGCAGGCACTCGCAGCCTGTGTGGGGCTGTCTGGAGCAGGCACAGGCAGCCTCGTGCGGGCTGCAGGTGGCTGCAGCGCAGGGTGCCAGGCATGGGGCAGGTGAGGGGCTGCTTTTCCCCGCACTCAGTGCCAGCTTGTAACCCGTCCCACTGTCAGCCTGGCATTGGGGCCGGGTTACAAGGGGGGGGGGCGGAGCAGCCCCTCCCCATCCCATACCCTGCACTGCAGGCATTTGCAGTCTGCCTGCTCCCAACAGCCCCGCGTGGGCTGTGAGCACCTGCAACGTGGGGCACCGGCCATGGGGCGGGTGAGGGGCCACTTTCCTCCACGCAGGGAAGGAGCCCAGGGAAAAGCTGAGCGCGGGGGGGCAGCAGCCCCTCCATGCCTGGTGCCCCATGCTGCAGGCACGCACAGCTCGTGTGGGGTTGTCTGGAGCGGGCACAAGCAGCCCTGTGCTGGCTGCAAGCAGCTGCAGCACAGGGCAACGGGTGTGGGATGGGGTGGTGCTGCTCCCCACCCCTGCTCTCCTTTCCTGCCCGCCCCCCCCCCCTTACCTGAGCTTCCCGCACTGGGGCAGCCACCTGCTCCCAACCCAGAAACCCCGCTGGGGAGTGGGGTCTTCCGGCTGGGGAGTGGGGCCGGGTGGGCCCTGCTGTTGACGGAGCCTGCTGGGCTTCCTCTGGGTCCTACTACCCTTGGTTCCTGTCATTTTTTACAAGAACCAAGGGCAGACAAATATTAATTTTCTAAACTTTTTTTGGGGGCCCCATGGGCCGGATACCTGCGGGCCGTATTTTGCCCACCCTTGACTTATAGCATAACTTGCTCTGGTCCAGAGTTAATGGATAGTTAAGATTTTTTAGCATAATGACCTCCTTTCAACATGGCTGATGCTCAAACTTGTCTCTTCCTCAGGTGATTACATTGCTATTGGTGCTGATGAGGAAGAACTGGGTTCTCAGATTGAAGAAGATATCCTTTGCTGTATGTATAAATGCTCTAGAATAAGACTGTTGAAGGAGTTAGAAGACTTTTTTTTTTTTTTTTTTTTTTTTTTTTTTTTTTTTTT